TGGCAAAACATCGGTAAACACGGTATTTAATTATTTATGACTTAAACTGATCAGTTCATATTGACTGGAGAGTTTGTTGCGATTTGTAATATCGCAATATTTAATCCTTCCTTAAGTGAAACCAAAACAAACCTTAATAATTGGCCGGAATTAGGCGGATTTTGGAACAATAAAATTTTATCCAGATTAACTTGCAGTTGTTTATATAGAATACGATTTTGATTCGCGTAAAATTTTGCCATTCAAAAACACTTTCATTCGTTTATTAGTGTGGCGAAAATCTTTAATGTTTCTAAAAAGACTAAAAACATCTTGGGTTTCATGATTGCTATTATAGTAGTTTAGGTTTAAGATATACTTTCTCAATACCTTTAACCATACTGTATATTTTTGGCAAAGTTAACCTTCTACGCTTTTAGTTGTCCACGTATTGAATATCCAAAGTGCGAAATTAATGTTTGTAACAGTCGTTCCAACCGTTCAATTAAATTGATATAAACTATAATTAAAATGTTTATACATTCATACGTAGACTAAAGGTTTATGGTATTACGAGCTGCATACTGGGTGGGCATGGGATATAAATAAAACAAAGGTAGTGTACTATGACGAAATTATTATTTTCAGGATTTTCTCTTGTCTATTTGCCTTAAAATTTTCTTTTCAGAATGTACAGGGTTATGGTACATGGTACAGGGTCCGGACGTTTGCGCCTAAACCGTTTGATTTTTAAATATTATATATTTTATGAATTGGCAGACGCCTACCGGGCGCAGATTTAAAAAAAATATATATTTTTTTTAATCTGCAGGGTTCACTAAAGCCCTAAAAGTATCAAAGTATCAGTTGTGTTTTTTTTAATGAAATATTTTAATTTTAGTGAAATTAATTTTATAAAATATATATTATTTCTGGATCTATTTTGCAAAAAAGGTAAAGACTTAGCTATTAACATCCTAATACCATTCGATAGGTAATTAAAAATTGCATTCCCTGGTAACTTAAGAAATATGGGGTTGTATTTAAATTAATCAAGTTAAGTTATAGCCACTTAAAGTTCTTATTTGATTAGTTTAAATTTGTGTGTGACACCCTGTATAACATGGTAACTTTCTGATTATTGGGATATGACATATTATTTCTTGTTACGCTTCACTGCAAATTACGCTTACATAACTAAAATAATTCGAAAGTATTTGACACATGAATATTAAAGTAGATTTTTGGTAGATTGGTAAAATGCGGATTATTTGAAAAACCTCATGATTGAAGAATTATAAACATTACTGAAACAAACACTTATTTTGCTCAGAGAATCCAAAAATTCAATATATAGAGAATTTCATTTAAAAACACAACTTTGAGACTTTTAGGACTTTTGGGACACCCTGTATATTACAAAAATATTTTTTAAATGTGCGCCCGGTAGGCGTCTGCCAATTCAGAAAATAATTATTTTTAAAAATCAAACCGTTTAGCCGCAAACTTCTGTGCCGTATAGCCTAAATAACCCTGTATACCCTATTGCTACGAATTTTGTTTAATTTGGCACTCATATGTATAATTTTATATGTATACTGTATAATACTAACTGTGACAAGCTTCTTTTCAACAGACCAATTTAAAACCTTAAAAATATCAACTTAAATGGTTGCAATTATTTTTAGAAAGCAATGAAACTATGACTTGAAACTCAAAGTATTTTGTTTAAGTAGTGTTTTATTACGTACTTTAATTTCAACGAAAATCGACGCTTTTGAAAGTCCTTGTTTCAATATTTCACAGATTTTTCAATATTTTCTTCAAACTACTGTGACTATCGTGAGTAATATTCCTTTTTTAAATTTTTTCTTGGAAATTTTGTCCGGAACAATTTACAATGATGAAATATCCGTATTAGTCCAAAACTAATTTTTCCGTAGAAAGTGTGTTGATATTTTGTAATGTAAGATGATAATCATAATCTTGCGATCATTCGCAGAATTGAAAGTTTTTAAATATATGTGTATGCTCGAAAAATAACTATCGGTAATTGGCAGAAAAACAGTTAAACACATTTTACAATTCTACAGTTAATTAAAAATATGCAATTTACATTAGTAGCAGAATGAATTAGTTGTCTAATTACGTAATGATTTGATGTTTTACTGGTTTAGAACCTATTTACTCATGTGTTTAATTCGTTGCGAAGCAATATTCCAAAATGCTCACCAACCTTGAACAATTCATTTAAACAAATAGATGAATGGAAACAATAAGGGAAAACACAATATTATAAATATCAATAGGCAAGTAAACATCAAATTTTTTTAAATAAAATCTTATTTACATGCGTAAAAGTTGTGGTCAAAGAATGACAATTTTTACTTAATTATGTTTTAGTTTAAGATAATTCCATTTCTCAGGATCGCTGTAACAGAGTAGTTCAAATATTTACCCATTTTCTATCATTAAAACCTAATTAAAAACGAATTATATTAAATCTGGTATTTCTGATATCACAACAAAAATAAAGTGACAGTTTAAAAATAGTTTACTGATGTAAATAGTAATTTTTTTATTTCGTGCTTCGGTCGTTTCGGTTTAGAAGATTTCCGTGCGTTTGAAGTTGCTAAACTGAAAATGTTGCTTCAAATAATACCTATCGGAAAAAATTGGACTCATCACTCGCAGTGCGGTATTAAAACCTATTTTATTCGATAGTATTAGACTAATTTATGATTGTTCTTTGATTTGCAAGGTGTTCATGGGAAAAACGAGTGACAAAGTACTATTATAAATGAAGCTTACCGTGTATTTTAGGCACTTTCAATTTCACTCACTTGTAATAAACCAATAATCCAAACCCTTCTAATACCAATCCGAATTTGGAGTAGACTTAATTATTATTCAGTCATCGCGATTTGTGTTGTTCGCTGTCCGTATTCAACTACCGATTTTTTCCAGAGTGATCATGATAAATAGCATTATGGATGCATGATGAGGTCAAAAGTGTATCAATTATCATTTGTCTAGAGATTTGGTGAGCTTTCGAACTGGTCCATTAACAGAAACATATTTGAAGGCGATTTTTCCGATTGTTTTGGGCTGAGAAGTTTTATGCGTTCGATAAGAATCAATTTTTTTGCTCAACATTAATTTTAACCACGTCAAATCAGTAATTGTGTGCGGCAAACGTTCTCACGAATCACAAATATCGTGGGTTTATTCCCAATTGTTCACAATTAACATGGTTCCTATTGCTCGTGTGTTTGGCAACCTGTGTCTAATAGCTATTGTTTCCCTTTTTACCTACAAAACTCGTTTACAGTGCATTTCTCACTGTAACGTTGCGACTAGGCAGTTTGTTAAATAAACGGCGACCAAAGATATTAATTTGATATTGCATAAAGCAATATATTTGAAATAAACTATGGGTTTTTTGTACTTTCCAAACTTAATTTAACTTGTTTAAAAAATATAATTTAATAGAGATTTAACTACTCTAGCTAGATTGTTAGCTGTACTGAATGCTGTACTAAATAATAGAATCTTAAATAACTTTTAAAAATTTATTGGGAATTTCAGCTAAACAATCGTTTTTTATCAAAAAGTAAATTGTTAAGTTCGATTCCTCATTTTTTTCAAGATTTATAAACATTAACACAGTTAACACAGTTAAAACGGTAAAAAGTTGCAAATGTACACTTGGTTAATTCGTTATGAAATGATATGTATAAAGAATATATAGAATATATATAAAGGTTCCATTATGTTTTCACCAATATTTCATTTTTAACTTTTAAATTTCGGATCTAGAACAAACTCTTTAATCTAAAGAGACTACAAGACAGGGCGAGTATATAAACTCGTACATTTTTAATTTAGATAACATATAAATTACTGTGATTTGTTTACATACCTACCTATATTTTTTATTATACATTCTTTCAATGATTTACGTACTGCCTTTTTCATTTACTTATTCATCATGTACGAAATAATTATACCAAACTAGAAAATTAACATCTGAGGCAGTCAATCGTTTGAATGGGCCAAAGCAGAAGAACATAGCATTTCCACATTCAAGTAAACATTAGTGGATTCTAAATTATCTAATTCTGCCTAAATAATTTTAATTAATGTTCCATTTTTAAAATGCGGTAGCATGCAGTTTTTACTTGTTTTGCTTTTTTATATATTCTTTGTGAATTGATTGTTTCTTCTGTTGAATTTATTATAGTCCATTTTTTGAATTTCTTCGATTACTGAATATTACACTTTGGAAAAACCTTACATGAGGGTCAACTTTTTGTTTAAACATCGACAGATAAAAAGTTAATTCTTTTGAAAAATATCGAAATTATATTAATAAAGAATGAATTATAATTAATAAAAGCAGTAAAGTACACACTATCTTATTTAACGAAATTCAAGTGACCGTAATGGTCTGTGTGATAAAGAAAAACAGTAAAAATGCAAAATTACATTTATCGTTTTTAAGAATCGAAATTCAAGTAAATGAAAAGCTGGTGAAAATATAGGAGAGCATTATACGCCGCGTCAAATGGTTATATCACTTATATGTGACAATCAGATTTAATTATTAAGAAATTCAAAAAATTATTATTCTCTTCGAAAAATTAATCCTAATCGTCTGCCTTTTCGAATTTAGCCTGGTTGTGCGTAAATCGTGCTGATTGTCTCGTCAGTTTTTTTTATTTTCACAACTTTCTATTAAGAAGCAAATTCTTTTACAACACGCGTTTGATATTTGACCAAAAAATGCCTATTAACTGCAACTTTTTCATATTAACTGCAGTCCTCTATGCATTGATTCAATTACATGCAAAATAAACCATTTTCGGGCTATTTCTGTTCTTCAAATGATAATAAAACTTTTACCTGCACTGATTGATTTATATGAACTTTTGTCAAATTATCTAATTGGACAGATCTTGAATTAAAATAAGTTGACATGAAAATGTTGTTAAATGAAATATTTGTGAAAGCCTGCTTACCTAAAACGGAATGGAACACGTAATCGACCCCTGCAGTGTACTCTGCAGCCTAAGCACTCTTCTCCAGCTTTTTCCTCTTTGGGCACCGGGACTTGGAGAACTTTTCGTTCAAAGGGTCCCAAAGCTCACCACGTATTTCCAACTCACAACCACTTTCGACAACCACGTCGGTTTCCAGATCTAGACCCGCTTGAGGACCCAGTTTGTGATTAAAAAAATCCGAAAATGATTGACTCGCGCGCGATTTAAATTTGATATCGTTTGCTAATTGAAGGGTACCGTTTGCAGCTATGTGATTGGTATGTGTGTGTGTCTCTCTCTTGGCAAAAGTACTCGTATGTACCACGAGCAGTCGTTGGACGTGTACTGAGAGAGTGGTGGCTCAGTCCTGCAAGAGGAGCTTTTAGGCGATCGGTTCACGTGCTGCAGAAGGTGACGTTAAAGGAAAGCTCTTAACGGGAGATCAGGAGCTTTCAGGATGATCCGAGGAAGATAAAAATTGACTACGTTTGTTCAGGCTTGTTTACCGTACGACCAATGTTAGATCACGTGATTCAGACTACCAAACATTAACTAGAGTGATTGGGATCATGGTTTTTTAAGATTTATTAAGCCCAGGTGATTTGCGTTGATTGATTGACGCAAAATTTCCATTTATGTCACAATCAAAGTCTTTGTGGTTGCCTTCGAGTATATGCAAAATTTCAAAATACCCTTTGTTCCTGAGAGGAACAACTTGAGCCGTATTTTTACAGAAGCATTGTGATTGTGGCGTTTGTTCTATTAGGTGGTAGCTATTATTTATTTAAATGTTCTTTGATGATTAGCTTAGAACGGAAGGGTATTTTTGTTATCAGGATTCCGAATTATGAGGACCATCTTATATTTTCCTTGTTATTCTACTTTTGCTCTCATTATGCCTTGTACACGAGTATCAACTTCTACTGTAATAGCATTCATTTATCAAACATCCTAAGGAATTTGCTGCTTATTTAACCAACGGATGTTTTCCATATTTATTCGAGTTTTAAGCTAAGCTACGCTAGATTATTCAGAATAAAACTATTTCTTGAAAGGACGTTCTTCGACAACTTCGGATCCATATCCACTTCCACTTTGATACATACTCCATAAACTTTGATCAAATGAAATGATATGTCAAATTTGTATTTGGAGATTTCGCCTAAAAATGTTTTATTAGCTCGTCGCTTTTAAAACATTTTTTTAAACAACGTCATTCGGCATACAGTAGCATAGTAGTTAGTCAAAATTGTTGTTGGTGGTTAAAGGTAATGTAATATTATAGTCAAATTATTCGCTATATTTTGTTTAGGAATTTTGCTTTCGAAACATAATTATGTGCGTATTATCAAAATTGCAATGAGATACAACTGAATTCGTTCTACTAAAGCGCTTCAGATTTTCTGGTTATTTTGTCTGGTTAAAATTGTCTTAATCTTGAATACACATTTAAAAATTTGTGATCCTCGAGCAGATGCTTTTGAGCCACCATTACAATTTTATTACCAAAATGTGTCCCAAAAATTATTATTATTGCGGATAACTTAAACAAATTGAATGTTATTGAACTTTTCCGGCAGAATTATTTAACTCTAGACGAATTAATTATCATTTTTATTATTATCATATTATAAACCCTTTTTTATCGTGTCTTTCAGATTCTCAAAATAAATTCTGTGAATTGAATTTATATGATTGATTCATTGATAGTTTGATGGAGCAGAAATTCTTTAAGGAAATCTGAGGAAATTATTAAATTAAATTAATTATTTAATTAAATACTTGATTAACTAATTACTTACCCAAGCATTAAATTAATAATTCCTTTAAAAAGTAAACAATATAATTACAATTAATTTTCTTAAACATATATTTTTCGACGTAGCGGTATATTTCTTGAAATGGGGAGAATATTATTTTTATATATTTATCTTGTAAGCATTCATGCAAAATAAGGCTACTTCCGCCGAAAAACAACATTTTTAAATCGCAAAAAGTTGTTATGAAACATTTTTAATTTGGACTTTTCAGTTTAAATCACCAAATTCGCATTTCAACTTTCATTTTTTGAAATAATATAACCTTAATGAAATCAATTTTCTTGGAAAATTAAAAATTATTATAAAGTGATTGATTGCCAAATTATATGTAAATAAACCGTAGAATTCAATAACTATCGCCTCTGTCTTTCACAGCATTTTTACAAATAGTTTCTTTTTGTTCCACAAAATGAAGATGTTAACCTTATAGAAGAAAAGTTTTAAGTGAGATATTAAATAAGCGATGCTGATTATGTGATTTAAAAATTTTCTTGATTACATTACTTTGTTGAATGCCTTAACTCAGGATTATTTATATCACGTATATAATAAAATAAGGACTGGAAAGTTTTTATGTCCGAAACTGATATAAAATATGGGATGGAGAAGTGATTTCCAGAAAGCATTTTTTAACATGCAAATTTTTAAATATATCTGCCTGTTGGATGATTTCGATTTTGCGTCACGGTTGTGATTTTATTTACCTTCCAATTACAGACTTTACAAAAAGTAGATTGTTAATACCGCTTAATTCGCGCTAAGCTTAGACTTTATGGGGCAATTTTGGGTGATGTATTGATGGAATTATTACTTAATACAAATAAAAAGTTCGGATTAAAATTCTTGATTTTTTTCACACGCCAGCATTCGATTTATTCCTGTTTGCATCAATGCCGCTTTTCAGCTAGTATTAGGATAGTTAAAAAGTAAAAAAACTTTTCTCTGCCATAAAGTGTTTTTGCAGGTTTGGTTTCGAAGTATAGTTTTCATAAATTTTTCTATTTAAACGGGTGTTCTCTAATATAATGTCGGTTATAGATTGCAAATTGTAAAAGCGACATGTATCAATTCGAAATAGAAAAATGTTATCTTTGCATTATTAAGAAGAACCCTTTTGAATTCTGAACTAGTGGTTTATATTTTTTTTACGTTTTTTAAGAGTTTTTGCGAATTGAGTACCAAACACAGATAATAAACTATGACTTTAAAAAAAGAGTTGGAATTATTACTTTCCGATAAAGTAATTATCTCTAAATGTTGAAGATCAGTTAGCAGATATACTCTTGCACGTTCTTTACACATTTCTCTGTCAATTTTCGAAACAGCTTAATAATTCCTAATTAGTCGATAGTGGATATGGTAGGTACACACTCGTGCCAAGGTTGATCATACATCATATGGTTAAGCCTATATTAATTAAATAAATAAATACTCAACTTTTTCTTCTTCAACTGTGATAAAAACTTCTTGTTTTCCTGAAGTGTTACACTAAATTTACATTCATGCGTACTAAACTTTAGTTATTGAAATCTGTTATGGGGATATATTCTGAGTTTCCACTCAAAAATCTACTACTGTCTCAAAAAGAAAATGGAATACTGACAAACTATCAGAGGAAACGACCAACAAAAGTTACATTCAGTGCTTGAAGAGTCAGTTGAAACTTGCGGACGAGAGGGAAGACATAGACAGAAACCATCAACAAGGCAATATCAAAAGCGGCTGATAACATACTAGGAAAACAGCCCAAAAATAAACACGATACATGGGTCGATGAAGAATCCAAGAAGGTCTTAGAGAAAAGAAACCGTGCAAGACAAAATGTGCTACAAAGAGGAACGGATGAAAATACAAGACTGTATGGGGAACTAAGAAAAAGAGCCAGAAAATTAATGAGAACAAAGAAAGGACGGCACCAGCAACGAATACTGGAAGAAATGCAAAGATATATCAACCATAACCGGTCTAGAAAGTTCTATATAGACATTTCAACCACAAAATAAACTTTAGACCTAGATCGGAAACCATACTTAAGAAGGAAAATGGAAGCAGTACTTTGACAAACTTTTAAACAGAGATCAACATTAGATCAACAAAGTGAACAGACTACAGCGGCGCACCAAACTGAAGAACCGCCGGTAGAAAAACCCACATACGAAGAAACACTCAAAAGTTGACAAACCTCCAGGAATAGACAACATACCAGCAGAGCTGCTTAATTATAGAGGAGAAGCACTGCAAAGCCAACTACATAGACTTATATGGAATCAGGAGAAAATACCAGATTAGTGGAATGAAAACCTTCCTTATCCATAAAAAGGGAGACAGAGCAAATTGTGGTAACTAGAGAGAGATATCCTTAATCAACACGGCATATAAGATCTTTGCAAACATACTTCTGGAACGCCTTAAACCCATCGTAGCCTTAAACCCAAGGCTTGGTGGCCAAGGCTACCAGACCTGGGAATTCCCAAGAAGCTAATTAGGCTGACAGGTGTATGTATCAACGGCTCCAGAAGTAGAGTAAAAGTTGAGGTGAAATACTGTCAGATTCGTTTGAGGTATATAATGGCTTAAAGCAGGGACATTCTCTCTCTCCTATATTATTCAATATARCCTTGGAAAACGCCATAAGAGAGGCGGAATTAACCACGGAGGTCTTTGGTATTGATGGCCCAAGGGTTCTCCTAGCTTTTGCCGACGACATTGACRTAGTTKAAGACACTGTAATAATGGTAAAGGAGTTGAAAGTCAGGCGGAAGTAATTTGGTTTAAAACGAACGAAACGTTACAATAGGAGAGTACAATTTCGACAAGTTTTGCCACCTGGGGGCCACCTCTAAAAGAGTTTATCTCCAGCAAGAATCTATCCCGAAGATCAAAAATTTAAGTCATACGACCAGTAGTCATGTACAGGAGAGGACAATTACTAAGGAAAACGAGCGCCAGCTGAAGTGCTTTGATCAAAAAAATTTGCGTAAAATCTTTGGACTACACAAAGACCCAAACACAGAACAGTTCCGTCCAAGAACAAACAACGGACTGACTGAGATCTACGAGGAGCCAGCTGTTATCAGAGTAATTAAGTCCGGGCGGCTGAGACGCGCTGGACATAGATAAAGACAAATATGGGCTGAGATGGGCTGGACATGGACACCGTCAACCGGGCTCTCGATTGATCAAAATGGTTAGGGAACAGAACCCGCAAGGGCGAATATCTCTGGGGAGTATGAGATGGAGAGACTACATCGTTGCAGACCTGAGAGCTATGGGAATAGCGTACGATCCTGAATTGATGCAAGGTGGAGCATGATCGTGCAGTCAGTCAAGACCCATCAAGGTCTAGAGCAGCAGAGAAGAAAAAGAAGAAGATATATTCTGGACAATTTAGGAATGTACGAAGAAATTAACAAGCTTTTAATAAACCTCATTAGTTGATCTTATTAAATGAGACTGAGACCTGCACAGCTCAATATGGGTTTAAGACGCCCGATTCTTAATGGTAATAATAGCATCTGTGATTATCTTTACTCAGTCTTCTACAAC